TAGACTATCTTCCTATAGCACATCATATCAAGGGATAAAGTGTTAGCGAGCCTCGAAAAAGTTAAAGTAATGTTTGGTTGGGAGAAATTGACCTCGGTCAATGAGATCTGTAGCTTTCTGGGAATGACATATTATTACTGCAGGTTTGTGGAATGATTTTTTAGCTTATCCGCTCCTTTGACTCAGCTCACAAAGAAGAACGTTAAGTTTGAGTGTAACAAAAATTGCGAAAGTAGCTTTTCAAAACTTAAGAAGCAGTTAATTACTGTACTCATGTTGACTTTACCGAATGGGACAAGTAGATATACAGTTTATAGTAATACCTTCAACATAGGGTTGGGTTGTGTTCTGATGTAACATGAGAATATCATAGTCTATAGGTTCAGGCAATTGAAGAGTCATGAAAAAAATTACCCCACCCACAACTTAGAACTTGTCGCTATTATTCACACCTTAAAAACCTAGCGTCACTACTTGTATGGGGAAATTTTTGATATTTATATCGACCATAAAATATTGAAGCACATATTCACTCAGAATGATCTCAACATGCCTCAGAGACGTTGGATAGAGCTCCTTAAGGACTACAATTGTAACATTTTGTATTACCCGGGTAAAGGCAGCCAACGCGCTCAGCAGAAAAAGTACAAGTATATTAGCTCACCTAATAGTTTCTAAATGCAGGATAATAGAGTACGCACAACAAATACAACTTCAGGACTTGAAGAGAGTTACATGTTTGACTCACTTGATTGTTCAACTTTGAATTGATCTAGAGAACTAAGAAAGCTCAATATGCCAATTCTACCATATTATCTCTCAGGAATGATCCAGAACATGGAGAAAATTTAGAATTCCAAGTTTCTACCGATGGATTGCTCATATTTCATGACAAGATGTGTGTTTCAAGTGACAATGAACTAAAAAGGGACATCATGACAGAAGCTCATTGCTCAAAGTTCGTCATGCATCTCGAAAGTACTAAAATGTATCAAAGTATGTGACCCCAATTTTGGTGTAATGGGATGAAAAGAGAGGTAGCCAACTTTGTTTCCAAGTGTTTAGCATGTCAACAGGTTAAGGCAGAGCATCAACGCCCAGGCAGGCTACTTCAGCCATTATCGATCCCGAAGTAGAAGTGAGAACATATCACAATGGATTTCGTAACAAGGTTGCCTAGGGCACGGTCATGACATGATGCCATTTGGATAATTATCGACCAGCTCACCAAGTCTTCTCATTTCTTGACTATTAAGATGACCGACCCCATAGACAAGCTAACAAGAATGTATATTCAGAATATAGTCAAGTTACATGGAGTGCCAGTGACAGTAGTATCTGATAGAGACCCTAGGTTCACTTCTCGGTTTTGGTCTAGTTTTCAGCAAGCCATTGAAATGAAACTGTCCCTTAGTACCGCATTCCACCATCAAACTGATGGACAATCAGAAAGGACGATTCGCACACTTGAAGATATGCTCCGAGCTTGTGTCCTAGACTTCGGGAGTCATTGGGATGATCATCTACTTTTGATAGAATTTGCCTACAATAATAGCTACCAAGCAAGTATCAGCATGGCTCCGTATGAGGCATTATATGGTCATCCCTACAAGTCATTGATCTGTTAGAAAGATATGGGTAATAGAAAATTATTCAGCCCAGATCTTATGGAGAAGACTACAACTAAGGTAATTAAGATCAGGAAGAACATTCAAACAGCTCAGAGCAAGCAAAAGAGTTATACAGGCCCCGGATGAGGAATTTGGAAGGTGAAAAAGGTTATCGAATGTTTCTTAAGGTCACACATTCCAAGGGAATTAGTAGGTTTGGCAAGATGGAAAAATTAAATCGTCAGTTCATCGGGCTATTTGAAATTTTAGACAGAATTGGTACAACCGCTTACAAACTGGCACTACCTCCAGAACTATCTAGGGTTCATAATGTGTTTCATGTGTCCATGCTACGCAAGTACAACTCGAACCCCTCACACATCTTGTCCCACGAGCCCCCTTCACTTCATGAGGATCTATCTTATGAGTAGGTATCAGTGGGCATTATAGACCGAAAAAGCAGAGTACTCCGTAACAGAAAAATTTCCTTCGTCAATTTCCTATGGCAGAATCACACACAGAAAGATGTTATATGGAAGCTAGAATCGTACTTCAGAGTCTAGTATCCCCAACTGTTTGACTAAGTGAGAGGGTAACAAATTTAAAGGACTAAATTTTTTTTTAAGGGAGAGAGAGTTGTAATACCCGAGTCCGAAATTTGATCCGGAATCAATTTTAGTATTTTAAAAATAAATAAAAATTAATTATAAATTGATTTTATTTAATTTTATTAAATTATTGAAAAAATAGGTAGGGATGTAATTGAAAATTTTTTTGAGAAAAAATTGTGAAAATTTGAATTCGGAAGTATTTTTAAAATAAAAATTAGAAGTAGTGGGTTAAAGTGCAAATAGAAAAAGTTCAGTCACGTAATACCGTTTAGTCAGCAGCCCCGACGAACCGGAGCACACTGACATCGGTGCCACATGGGAGGCCACGCGGGCGATTCGCGTGTCCCGCGATTGAACGACCCATGATCGATCCAGCGCGCATTAACGATCCAGATTCGTTTTTCCCTTAGGCATGATCGGACGGCCGAGATCAATCGCAATAGACGGTCTATATTCATTTCCTCCTTATGCACGATTGGACGGACAAGATCAATTGCGATAGATGGATCAGATCAACGCAAAATGGGTATAAATACTTTGCGTCATATGGGAACCCAAACCTTAGCCGCCAGACGCTGGAGAATGAGGTCGACTGCCGATCGCCGCCGCACCAGAGCCACCACTGACCACCAATAAAGGTAAAATTTTCCTTTACCCACTTGAAATTCGATTCCGAGCATCCCTATGGCCAAATCAGAACAAGAGGGACGGCAGCGGGTGAGCAAAAAATCCAAAAATCCCTCCAATGAGCCCCTTCCCACTTCCCGTTTCAAGCGTTTTTTAATCATTGTGTTCACCGTTCTTTTCTGTACAGGTTAGCTGAAGAAGGAATCCTAACTGCGAAGGAGAATCGGCGGAGCCGCCACACCTGAAGCTCCCCCCTCCCCACTAGTAAGTTAGATTTTTGTGATTTTCCGGCCAACCGTGGCCCCCTAACGTATTTTTTTGCAGAGATACGTGTAAAACCAGCCAAAATTATTCAAAACCGACCAAAATTGGCATGGCCAAGGAAAACCGCAGCCGTGAGCGGCGGAGCCGGTGCAGGAGCACGTCGTCGTCGTCGTGTCGGAACCCCAAAATCGGTAGAAAAGAGTTTGGGCACCGATTTTAGATTTTTGTGGTATTTTTAGAAACGTAGCAAGTGTTTTGGATTATACAAGAAAAATTCAAGAAACCAGGTAGAAGGCGTAGTAGATACCGTGACATCTTGAAACACTGATCCGGATAAGGATATCTCATTTTATTCCCCGTTATTGTAAATTAAGGTTTAACGATATATAATTTTATATTTTTGTAAAAAGTTAGAAAATTTTAAAAATAATTATAGGTCACTAATAGAGACAGAACTGGTTAGTTCATAATTATCCTGATTTCTTATTGGTTTTCCTATATTGTCCTACTTGTTTGTTATCATATTGTGCATGTTCTTAATTTATAGTTTTAATGATTTTATCGATTTATCTGGTTTATTTGATTATATGGTTACTCGATCCTTTATTATGATAAGTTACATTGTCTGTATAAATGTAATTTAATTTATCTGTAAATATAATATGACATATTAATATGCGTTTCTTTGTTGTTTTGCTTGATGTGAATCTTTATATGAAAGATTAACTAAGTACCCAGGAAAATGGCAGACGGACCCGTTACATAAGGAACTTTACCGTAAACATCACCTCAGTCGGACGGGACTGAAAAATCTCATACCGAAAAAGTTTTAAATATATGATTCACCCTTATACCGGACGAGATATCAAGACGATAAAATGTTTGACGTCCATTACCAGACGGAGTATGAGAACGGCCGATTAATTATTAAAATTGAATATTAGGTTCACGAGTAAGAGGACATCTCTATAGACCTCTAGGTGTACCGATAAGCAAATAAGAAAAGAAAATTATCGTCACTTGTTCTCTTATGTGTGAAAATAAAAAGTGATATGAATATAGATCTTCATAAATTACTTTTAAAAAACTCATAATGGTATGTATTAAACAAATATTTTTATGTTAAATGTATTTAATTAAACCAATGGCTTCATTAATTATTTTTTCTAATTTTTATCAATGTTCAATTTTCCGTATCTATGATTAATGAGATATTTTTACTGAGTTAGTATAATTCACTATTTCATTAACTATTTTAGATAAAAAAAATTGAGATACAGATCTCAATCAACAAAAGAGTTGTGAATAGTTCATCACCCGAACTCCCTTCAAGTACTAGTGAATGTTATTTTAAAATATTTATTTATTCATTTTTCTTAAATTAATGTTGTCTTTTAGAGTGAACATTTTCGTATATTTATTAGACATTCTAAATTATTATATTAAAAATATAAACTCTAACTTTATTATTCGTTTCCGTATTTAAATTATAAATTCATTTCCTTCAAAATTCTGAATCTTTACAACAATTGTTATTTTTGACATAAAGTCAATTAAACTAGTATTTAAATAAATTCAAAGTTAGTATCAAATAAATTTGTAAATTAACTACATATTTGTTTTTGTCATAAATTCAAAATTTATATAAATTTTATACATTTAAATTTAAAATGATAAAAGTTCTACCTAAAGTAATAGAATCATAAGTTAATATAGAATTAAAACAAATGCATTTCAAATTCCATCAATTTTAAATTTGAACCCATAAAAAAATTCTATATGGAATTGAAAAAAAAAAAAATCTATTCAAATTCCACCAAATTTGGTGGATGTTTAAAATGCATTGTTCTAATTTCTAATGAAACCATATGCACTTAGATTTTATCTATTTCCCAATAAAATTGGCAATTATCATACATATAGGAAATATAAGTGAACTCGCACAAAATCTGGATTTTTTCAAACATAGCCTGCCACTTTTAAGTTTGCTAAATTCTGCATGAATAATAATGTTTTGGCTAGATAGCACAATATCATGTAAATAAGACAGAATATTGCCATATCATACCTTGTGTAAGTTATGAGCAGTGTTTCTTCAAGGCTGTTGTTCAGACAAACTTGGATGTTCCAAATACAAATGTACACAAAGAGGCTCACTACTCATAGACTTTATAGGGGTTATAAGTGAAGCTTGTTGCCACTGTTTTGTGTCTGTAGGGATCCATAATTCTGCATCTCTACTTGTACTGACCTCCGGAAGTGCACGGAAGTATCCTGTTATCTCCCATCTCGAATCTGTTGAAAATCGAAAGCTTATAGACCTACCTTGAATTCTTTTAACAGTAACATTTTAAAATACAATCGATTTCAAGGAACAATAAGCATTAGATTAGATGCTGAGAATCTATAGGCACTATTCTTAATTCCTCAATCTGGGAAAAGAAGGGTACATATTGAAGGATCAAATATATTACAATCAGCCGGAAAAGTGAAGGACAAACTAATAAAACAGACTTTACAAAAATAATCTCTGACCTTTAACTTCTTTTTCAATTTGGTCCCTGATCTTTAATTTGTTGCAATCAAGTTGCTAATATTTCATTTTTTTTCCAAAGCACTTATTCCCTTAAACTATATGTTAAAATAAACAGATTTTTAGACACATCATCACCACATGACAATTATGTTGTCGAAAAGTAATAACATAATTATCATGTGGATTAAATTTATAAGGAGTCTGAGCTGAAATTAAATTATATATACTTGTACGGTCTAGGTTGGGAGGCAGAGAAAGCATAATTGAAAGAGAGAATCAGGTCAAGTTTGGATATTATTTAGGAGTATCTTAATCCACACAGCGGTCATGCCATGAAAATTTGATGAAACGGCTGCTACGTGTTGATGTGTTAAACATCTGTATATTTTACTAGATAAGTTACTTGAATATCTTATCTAGAAAAAATAAAAATTTAGGAATTTGATAGCAACAATTTAAAAGTCAGCGGTCAAATTGAAAATGTAGTTAAAGGAACCATTTTCGCAACTAAACCTGAGAAACATATATTATCATTTGGGAATGTAACCCGGACTGAATCATATAGTGAACACAAACCAGAAGATCACGGGCAAATTACCAGACTTGAAACTTACTGTGGGGAAGAACCTTGGTAAGTGGCTTAGAAATCGAAATCTTTATTAAGAACGATCGAAGAGAAAATTCCAAGTCACTATCTTTCACCATTCTGTCATAAGACTGGTTCAGCACAAGCTTAAAGCTGAACTTCTCCACAGGGATGTTTTCAGTGCTGAAGAAAATAACTGCTACTCTCTCCACCAGCCCCTAATTTTAGAAATAAATCCCGGTTTTAGTAAACTATCTGGCATTTTTAATGAATCAAAAATTACATAAGAGCATACATACTAGAACTTGGTAGTATCAGGCATAGGTAAGGCCCTTAACTGAATATTAAGGCTTTCTCTAAGAATCTCATTCATATTTTGTCTCACTCCTGTGTACATTACATTGTCTTTCTTACATGGGTAGCACCCCCACGATGCCCTGTTTATGATACTTGCAAAGAAAACAAACTTGGAATAGAAAAATACTATGAGCGAAGTCCCATAGAGGACCTATCTGTGACTCCTCTGCATTATACAAATTCTCTGCATCATCATTTTTTTCTAGCTTCTGCATAACCAAGATCTTATTCATTTTTTTTTTTTTTAACTTTCCGGCCTGATAAAATGTCCAGTCATACACAGTTGTATCTTAAAGGGCAATAATTTGGAGGTTGGCATTGTTAATAGCAATAACTAGAATGAAGATACAAAAGAACGTTTTCTAGTTAAAATTTAGAATTATAAATTCCATCGGCTTATCTTTTTCATTCTACAATTATTTTATCTTATATTTGCTTTTAATTGACACTTCTGCAGAATATGGAATAGGCATAACTAAACAATTAGTTAAAAGATACACCTCTATCGATCCATTATCACATGCTATTTGTTTAATTGCTTTACTTCATAATTTGTGACACAGCAAAATAAGATTGAGAGATCTGAGATCATTTTGGAACATGGTTCTAAGCAGTACTTGTAAATTTAAAGCATTAGAATGATATGAAACATTTTTACTGGAACCTTTTATGATAGATAAAGAAGATGTATAATGTCAAGTCCAAAACATAGCCCTAGAAGGAATGGAAAAAGAAATTTCTGTTTCCTGTTAGAAAATTAGTATATTCGAATATTCCTGATGCCAGCTGTCTGATGCCAAGGCCAAGTTAGTTATTCTGGGCAATACTGATAGCACTACGATTGTAAGGAATGATATGATTTGAATGAAGATACTTTCCAAACACTCTCTCTCTCCTCCCTTTCTCCATTCTTCTCTCCTCTTCCCTTCACTGTTACAATACCTCACTAACCATAGAGACTGGGTTTTCCAGTAAATTAATGAAGCACGCACCTGACAACTTGGTATGAGAGCTGACGAAACTAGGTAAGTCATTGGGCTTTCATTGTGAAACTGGTGAAGAACAAGAAAAAGGTAATGATAACTGATTCCCACAGAATCAGACAAGTGGACAACTCAGTCATGAATGGAGGCTAATGCCTTCAAGAGTTCATGACAAAAATGTATGAAACAACAGTGCAAGGCAGGATGCTAAACTCAAGGACAAGTTGCAGAAAACAACGCCCATTTACAGATGAGGTTAGCAGAAAAAATGAGCTCTATGCTAGACAAGCATCAGACAGTTCCCAATCTTCCCATTCCGCCTCCAAACCTATCCCCAAAATCTCCCAGACAAGAAGTCTCGTCTAGTGTTCCTTCTCCTTGAGGGAAATACTCCCTACTCCTCAAGCGCAGGGAAACAGTAATGGCAGTAACTAGCAATGAGGGCTTAATCATACCATAGGCCATAAGACACCTAGGACTGACAGTCCAATGTTTGACGAGATCAACCTGAGATTGTAGTGAGCGAATACAAAGTGCTTAGGTCTATGGAGTAACCAACAAACAAAAGTGAACTTGCAACCTTGTTCCTAGAACAGAACCAGATGTGTGGTACTAGGGATGGCAAACACAAATTGGGCAACAGAATAGACGATATTGAAAAAGACTTGTGCCCACTTTTCAAACCTGATAGTGGCAAACGTAGTTGAGTTTAAAGAACACCACCAAGTGCTTGAAGAGCTCAAATAAGCCATGCTCAGGAACCACCCACCTTATTGAAACTTCACATCAATCTTCATCAACGGGTTGAACGAGGAGTTGCCGTCCATTATTAAGCTCTACAAGCCACAGTCTCTCAATCTAGGTTATGATCTAGCCCAGTCACAACACATCAAAGCAATGTTAAGGCACCAAAAAGCCAGGAACTTTATTTTCCATTCCAAAGTTCCAACCCCAAGAGCCCATAGCCAATCTCAACAAAATCCAAATGCTTGGTTGTGCAACAAATTAGAGCAATCCACCCAAATAGACACCTATAGAAGGCAGAAAGCCTTTCAATGCTTGTTATAAGTACGGTGAAGTATAGTTGATCTAGTGGTAGTCGATAGATTTACCAAGTATGATCAATTCTTGGCATTACACCCTTCTACAGCTCTAAAAGTAGACAAAATCTTTCTTGATAACATATTCAAGCTGCATGAGATGCCCCAATTCATTCTCCAATCAAGATAAGGTTTTCACTAGCTTGTTCCCAAAAGTACTAACGAGACATGAGAATAGGCTGCATCTCAGCACCGCCTATCATCTGTAAAATGGTGGTCAGACAAAAAGGGTTAACCAGTGTCTCGAGAACTACTTAAGGAGCATGCTATTTAGAAAATCCCATGCTTAGGCAAAGTGGCTGGGATTGGCCAAATAGTGGTAAAACAATATCTACTTTTCTAGTATAAACATGCCCCTATTTGTAGCTTTATATAGCAACCATCCTTCTTTGTTGATGGAACATAAGGATTGGGTTACTTCATGGGCTAATCTGGAGGAGCTGGATTGTTGATGGAAGATAAGAACTGATGAAGGAAATGGAGGTGGATCAACTACTGAGGGAGCAGCTCTTGGCAGCCTAAAACAAGATGTAGTTTACAAATGCTAAGAGCACTACAGGGCAATTCCAAGAGAGAGACTTGGTTATGTTGACATTACAGCCTTATCGGCAACCTACCCTAACCATTAAAAGATGTCTAGAGCTTGCATTGAAATGCGATCAGCCCTTCAAAATAAAGAAGAAAGTTGGGAATGTGGCCTACAAATTGGTTCTACTACCAGGAACAACAATACAAATAGTATTTCACGTTTCAATGCTAAAGAAGTATGAAGGCAACTCTCCTCAAGTCCTCTCCACTGCCTACCATTGATTCTCAAGCCCAAATCCAAGTTGAACCCAAGGCTACTATGTAGAAGAGGACTTTATTTTGGAGGAACAAACCAATTGAGCAAGTCACGCTGTGCTGGCTTAAAATCGGACCTGAGGAGACAACTTGGGAAAATTGAGCATTTTTGAAGGCTTAGTTCCCTCATCTAGACCTTAAAGACAAGGTTCATCTGCGAGAATGAGGAGCCGAGACCCATTAATCTTGTGGGGTATATTTATAAACTCATTGATAAAGTATTGGCAAAGACAACAGCTAAGGTGATGCAAAGGACGGTGAGAGAGTGTCAACATGCTTTTATAGGGAGTAGATAGATTTTTTGATGCAGTCTTAATTGCTAAGGAGATTGTGGATAAGTTGAAACACAAGAATTTGGAGAGTGTTCTTTGGAAACATGATATGGAAAAAGCCTATGACCATGTGAATAAGGAATTCCTTAACTATATGGAGAAAATGGGTTTTGGGAATAAATGGCGGAGTGGCTCAGATACTGCATTTCTATGATATCCTTTGCTGTTATGCTAATGAGGGGGTCATCGTCTTTCTTCATAACTAACACTGGATAGAATGCTCTTGATATGTTTAAGGGGTTGGAAAGTAGAGGTGGTGAGCGTGTGGAGGAAGTGACTCACTTATTTTTTACTGATGACACATTGCTTTTCTTTGAACCGGATAAATGGTAGAAGTGAATCAAATGATGCATTTCTACGACCTCCAATGGGGGGCCATCGTCTTTCTTCATAGCTAACAGAGGCCTCAGACAAGGAGATCCTTTGTCCTCTCTACTGTTCATCATTATTATAGAGATACTTAACAGAATGCTCTTGCGAGCTAGAAGTAATGAGATGTTTAAGGGGTTAAAAGTAGGGGATGATGAGCGTGTGGAGGAGGTGACTTACTTATTTTTTGCAGGTGACTTACTTATTTTTTACTGATGACACATTACTTTTTTCTGAAGCAAGTAAAACAGCTCTACATAATATTAGATGTATTTTGTTAAGTTTCTACTCAGTACCTGGACTCAACATTAATCTTGCAAAGTCTGAGTTGGTTGATAAAAGTGATGCTAGTAGTTTGTCTACTATTCTTGGGTGTAAATGTTTGAATTTACCAATCAAATATTTGGGACTATTATTGGGGGCCAAACGTATAAGGAAGTCTTGACTTGGGACTCGGTGGTGGCATGTTTTGAACAATAGTTGGCTAGGTAGGAGAGAAATCTTCCCTATCTATTCATGTGCTTGATGATAATCTATGTAAATGTCGCCAAAACACTGAAATCCATTCAGTGCAGATTTTTATGGGAAGATATGAGGAGAAGAGAAAGTATCGTCCTATCGCTTGGGACAAGGCCAAAACGCCAATTCACTTAAGTGGGCTAGGATTGAGATCATTGGTGAAGATTAATATAGCTCTTCAGGGAGAAACAACTGTGGCGATTTATGAATGAGAGTTGCAATCTCTGATGGAGGGTGATTGAGGCAAAGTTTGGTAATGTGGAAAGAAAGTGGTTCACTAAGGTGTCTAGACCACATGGCAATAGGATGTGGAAGAAAATCTGCATAGGTAAAAGGAGTTCAAGAACTGCATTAGTTGGTGGATAGGCAGTGGGGAGAGGGTCATGTTATGGTGACGCCAATTGGTTGGAGGATGGTACTCTCAAAGTCTAGTTTCCCCAAATTTATGCTATTACTCAATACGAGGATGCTTTGATCCAGGAATCTTACATTAGCACCATAAAGAACCTGGAGTGCTTTGAAGAGGTTAGGGGGAACCTTAATGATTGGATAGTTAGGGAGTATGAGACCTTATTTCTCACCCTTATTAGGATTAGGCTTGATAGGGCTGGAGAACGACCTTTTTGGAGTCTCAATGCTAGAGGGATATTCTTTGTTAGATTCGTCTACAATCACCTAACAACAAGAGAGGCTACAGGAAGAGACTTTCCATCCAAGGAAATTTGGAAGGTTAATGCATCGCTAATAATTGCTTTTTCACAAACGAGGCAGTTAGAGGATGCATTTTAACTCTATACAAGCTGATTAGGAAGGACATGATTCTTGTAAATGGTTGTTATTTGTGTAAGAGGGATGCAGACCATATGCTATTGTGGTGTCCCTTTGCTTATTTAAAAAAAAAAAAATTGTGGTGTCCTTTTGCCTATAAAGGAATTAGTGGTGCGAAAAAGCATGTTAGCCTGATTTCCTCGCTACTTTTTGGGGTGGCATGAAAAAAAAGAAACAAAAAAGTGTTTGAGGACATAGAAGTGAATTTTGATAGGGTTAAGGATAGTTAAAATAATGTTATCCTTGATAGTAACATTTCTTCTCTAAATCTCTCTACTCTTCTCTCACCCTAATTTCTCCAAAACAGATCCTTTCTTTCTATCCTCATTCCTACCTCCGTTAATACCTTACAAACATATAAGAACAAGTTTAGGGCA